ACTTCGTTCGTTGTATTTTTAAAAATGAAATGCATCTTTGCATTCATGTGTTTATGGCAACAAGCTGTTATAAGTGTAAATATCAAACTTTGAATGTTGATATGTAAATACATAAAGAATTATGCGGTATGTTTCTAAATTTCTCAACTAACAATTGATTCGGCTGTAGTGCCCCTTGTCCTCTGCCATTTAACAACAAATTTTCTTCATCAGTTTATCCTAAGATTCTTCCTGGAAATAGATTTATTTTTATTTTTATTTTGGTTTTAATAGCTGTCCTGAGTACTGGAGCAGAGATTGAAGAGCGAGAGAATAGAGAGGCTTCAACAAACTAAGGAACTCTTTTGTATTTTCATGTATTAACATTTGAACTTTAATTTTATTGAGAAAATTATAACTTCTGCGTGATAGATTGTTCATTCAACTAAAAAAATTGCAAATAAGCTGTTTACAAAACGCACTAACCAAACAGCTAAACAACTTATTCAGATTAGGGGCAGAATGGTCAATTTTCCAGAATCAGCTGTTTTCCAGACGCACTAACCAAACAACCAGACAGCTTATCCGGATCAGCTGGTCATCAGCAGATTATCAGGATAAACTGCTTATCAGCAGAAGCTGGATAAGCTGCAGCTGCCCCAAACAGACCCTAAGTTTTAGGTGGGTAGGTGGAAGGAGATGTCTAAGGGTGATGCCGGGTGAGAAAAATTTTTTTTGGAGATGAAATTTTTGTATGACAGATGCTATAAACCCTAGGATAAAACTTGTCACAACCCAGCTCGATGTAACTCGTTATATTGAGGCGGGTCATCTCGTGTTGAGGTGATAATAGATAAATTAATACCCAAAATTTATTTGGAAGGAATTTTATTTACTTATTTTTTTCTTTAGATTTCATATATAAAAACCACTAACATCATCAAATATTGTAAAATAAAAATAGCCAAAACTTATTCAAATCATATCACTTTACAAGAAAAGAAAATATATACAACAATCATGGTTTAGGGTCTGTTTGAGGCTGTTGCAGTTGTTTGTAGAAGAAGCTGCAATTCAAAAAGTTACAGTGACTATTATAACTTTTTTTTAAAAAAAAAACCACAAAATTCTAGCAGCCATCGCAAGTCGTCAGATCTAATGAAAAAATGCAGCTTTTAACTGCATCTTTTTGAGAACACGGGCAAAAAACAGTCTTGTCAAACAGGAAAAACTACCGTGCGGCACCACATCGTCTTCGCACCGACACCCCAAACACATCCATAATCTCTTAATCATCAAAATATAAACATCTACAAGACTGCTACAAATATAAATAAAATGCACTGACATACCTAAAATCATAATCTCACAAGTAATGCAAAAGTTTCTACTCCACTTGAGCCTTATCCTTCCCTAAAGTAACACATGCGAGTAAAACAAGGGTGAGCAACCATAACTTAGTAGGCTACGCAAAAGCTACTGCGGTTTTTAATATTTAAAAAAACATGTAAATAAATCTAACATGTAAAAATATCATGTGTAGTATGTATCACAGTGCCAATACAAGAAATTGTAACTGCATCAGACATATGCTAAATAACAATATAAGCAACATGATATCGCAAGTGTAGGAAAATAACATGAATGTTAAATTTAATTATTTATTTAAAATTTTTTAAAATTTTCTCTTTCGTCTTCTTTTACTTCTACTTGTTCATATTTCACCTGTGCCCCTTATAACTCCACTTCCACTTGTACCTCAAATTGTTTACATTTGCTCAGATGTATCAAACACACAATTGGATAATTACATAAGTACAAAACCTCTTATAACTCCACTTGATTGCGCATAACATGCATCCGTCCAATCACAATCACCTGCAACTGCTCTCATTTTTATCATTTTTAGCATATTGTTTGATACAAAAACATATAAATGCTAATAATTTTGACATATTAGTATCACCACATGCTATAGAAAATAATACATATCAGAGTACGCGAGTGAAATCCGCAGGGGAAATAAATCTACACATTTTTTCAAACAAAATTTGCAAAACAATTTTTATGGAATGTTGAGAATAATTTTTAAAGTATTACTATCATGTTTAACGCACGTACCAAAATATACAAACTATTGCACAACATAATACCCATAAAAAAATAAATATTTTATATCGATATGCCCGACACAGTCTAATTTACAATATATAAAAAATTGTGCAGTGAAAGGTTTGTAAATATCCGTAGATCTGAGTTTGTACAAAATTTCAGCAAATAAATTTTATAACTTTATTAAAAAAAACAATGAATTTGACATCTAAAGTAGGTTAACAACAGCCTACATAGTGTTGGACAATTTCCTCAACAGACGTAGGTTAACACTAGCCCAAAGGACGAAATCAACTCTATGGTCCCCATTCCCAAAAGCAACTTTCTATCTCTAAAATCTTACTTTTCCCTCGCCTTCTCTCTCTACACGTTCTTTGTTTGGGAAAGAGATGGGAAAAATGCATGAAATGGCGTCCCAAATTTATTTAAGTGCTTTAAGATTTTTAGAATAAAATATTATTATTATTATTTATATTTGATAAAAGAATATAAATATAATTAATTGAAATATTATATTTATTAAATATGTATTTTATAGAACTTATATTTTAAAATGCTTGACTCCAAAACTTATATAAAAATAATTGGCCCACATGAAATTCTAATCTTTATTTATAATGAGAGAGCAATTTGGTCTTTTGTTCCTTCCGAAATATCAATTTTGTCATTCCAGAAATATCATCTCGCCCTTCATTTCTCTAGGCCATCCCATGTTGGGTCTAAGGAGGTAATTTGGCCCCACCGCTCCTCAAAAAAGAGGCTGGTTCCACCCTTGACAATCAAATGCTGTTACGGGTGGCTGCAGCGAGATACAACGACTGAGTGTGATGAGAGGATGTGGAAGGGGATAGGGGAGTATAATCATCACCTCGGGAGAGATTTAGCTGGTCAACACCCAATCCCTCAAATACAACCCTTGAAGGGAGAAATGGACGCCGATGGTTGTCCTAAACCAACTTATGCCAAAAACTAAACCTTGAAAATCAGGAATACAAATATATAATAAGAGGATAATTATGAGTGACCCAAGTGGACTGTCTGACTTATTGGATGGGTGAAAACTTGGACTAGTTTGGTCCAAAAGAAAGAATGGGTCGCACGAAAGGATCACGTGTGGCCCTTGCCTCATTTGTGCTAGCCCGAGCGCCCCCGCGTCATTACCTCTCTCATGTGGGTCGGCCATCACCTCTAAATCTTGGAGGATTTGATTGAGATATCTTATGAAACCATTGATTTGGTTTATTCCCTTCTTATTTTATGTTTTTTTTATTCAGAATTATCTTCTTTCCTAATTTAGGTGGATATGTTTGGTAAGTTTCTAAATATAGAGGGATTGATTCTCTATATATATGTACCCCATTTCTGAATAATGTATTAAGGGAATTCATTCCTTTCAAATTTGTTTTCTACATTTATCAGGTCGCAGTCGAAGAGTCATCAACCTCGGGAGATGATAGTAGCTTCGCCAACTTAAACGGGGCTGGCCTAACGTCATACTGTAAGGAGATAGAGGTTTTTGCAGATGAGGTCAAAGCTCCCCCAACCCCATGAGACTGCCCCGAGAGTGCTCTCTCTTCGGATGTGGGACCGGAGCTGCGATTCCAGTTCGATCACGGGAGATGGGAAACGAGCCGAAGTCTCGTTTTCTTTCTTTTTATGCTCTCATTTCCATTATTCTTTTTTCCTATATATGTGTTGTATTATAATTTAGAAGTCAGTTTTTTGCACGAGTTTGTTTAAGACAGTCGTCGGCGTCTGTTTCTTACTTCGAGGGTTGTATCTGTGGGATTGGGTGGTGCTTCGGCTTTTTCTCTTTCGAACATGGTGATTATCATCTCTATCCCCTTTTGCATCCTCCCACATCGCTCTCGGTCACCCCTTCTCTGCTGCAGCCGCCTGGAGCAACCTCTTTTTGCTTTTTTCTGTAGTTTTGTATTTCTGCCGCCTTGGCCGTCTCTTTGCTGTTGTTCTAGCCCATACCCATCTCCCTTGCCTTCTTGCTGTTATTCTGGCCACTAGAAACGCTCATCTGCAGCCTTGGCTGTTGTTCCAGCCACTCCGAACCACATTCCTGCGATCTAGGGGCAGCTTGTGCTTATATTGAAACATGGCCCGCAGGGTTCGACCCGCGACCTATGTTTAGTGTAAAAACCCAACCGGGTTTTTGGATAAGCTGCCGAAATGTATTTTCCAAACGGCGAGGCTTTTGAAAATGACGCCCGCACTTATAAGCTGCCCCAAACGGCCCCTAGTCACTATAGCAGCTCTCCTCCTTTGCTGCCAACATCCCGGGCAGCAGTGCGACGTCAATATCTGCTGTATGCTTGCTGTCCGGAATCAGGGAAAAGTTGCCTTGCTGTTTTTTGCTAGCCCACCACCTCGTCCACAATCTTGCCTCCTTCCCGACCCTCACCAACCATCTCCACCTCCCCTTGATCCAACCCTAGCGGGAGTTAGCGTGTCGTGTCTGTTGTTATTTGTTATTTAAGTTGGTTGTTTGTAACTTTTTATTTGAATTTCAGTAATAATATTTACTTTTTTATTGTTGCGTGGGTTAACTTCGGTATCTGAAACTACAAACCGTGAATTACAAAATAAAATTGTTAAAATAAACTAACTAAAGAAATTAGATAAATTTTTGCTCAGATCATTGATAGAAGCATTCTTTCTGATAAGAATAAACCGTCGGATTTCTTCATGAAGGATTTGGAAGGATAAGAGGGTAGACTCAAGGTGAGCCCGATAGAAGTTTTTTAGAATGACCTGTGAAGAATGTGCTTAGTTCCCTAAGAACATTCGGTAAGATAAATGGAAAATGAATCATAAATCTAGACTCCAAATAGTTGGGATTAAATTCTACTGCTGATGATGATATGCTTATTTTATATTGGTAATGTTTTTCAATGCAGACATCATCTGTATTCCAACGAACAGAGTTTAATTGCCTGCAAAACTCACTTTGGAGAATGCCTTCCGATGAAGTTGGCTCTTCAGTTAATCCTGACTCAGGTCTTGGAACTGTGGTAACTCTTTTAATGTAGTTAGACATTTATCTTAGATAGAATGAAGTATTCATTATCATTTTCATGAATTTCAGCCCATACTATCGGTAGCAAGTCACCATGTATTTCTTCTGGGAAGCAACAACCTCAAAAAAAGGAATTGCATCCAGACTACGCTCCTCAAGGTCAGATATTACTAGCAGCCTTTGACTCAACAAGAGAGGTGGCTTCTTCTGATTTCAACTGTTAATTGTAGTTATCTGCATCACTACAAATTTTGCAGCAGAAGCTCAGTTTACGATTTACCCCATCAATGATATAGTTGATAAGTTTGTATTAACTGATACGTTGGCCAACGATGTTACTTCTCAAGCGGAGAGGCTGCACAAGGTATAGATGTGCTTCACCTTAACAGTTTATGCTCTTTTATACCCATTCCTTACCAGCAACCTATATTACTTGCAGAGTGAAGCGGCTCGAACAGCAGATGAAGTTGAAGCAGTGGATAGGATGGTGGCATGTAAGAAACAATGTTTAAAAAGACAGGTGATTATATCTGTACTAATTATCCTTGGGGCATTTACGTACATACCACCCGATTCCTATGCAATAACATATCTAACACCCAAACCTTTTTTTTTTACTTTTATACCACCCAAATCTTTCATATCACATAAAAAATACCATTTTTTTTAACTTTTTAAAGTTATATACACCTTTTCAGGTAGAGTTAAGGTGACATATATATGTAAAAATTGATATTTGTCAATTAGGAAGAACATAAATTATGGAGCTAAATTAGGAGTTTTCTATAAATAGAAGTTTCCTTATTTCCAAAACTTTATTCTTATTTATTTCCCTTTTAGCTGAATATTTAGATTAGGATTATGTATTATTAAGTTACTTAAAATAGATTATATGCACTTTATTTTGTATCCAAAATAGTTTGTAATATTGTTATTTAATGGAATGAAAGCAAAGGGAAAAAACAATCGAGCATATTCAGATTTAAGTCTTTTTTTCTCAAAATTTTGACATGACATCAGAGCCAAATTTTTGCTATAACCACCAATAATTGTTGGAGTACCGTCAAGCCTTCTCGCCTGCCTTCTTGCAGGACGGGAAGGAGGGAGTAACTATTTCGTTGTCTTGATTCTCGTTGGTTCGTCTGCCGGTCGTCTCATGATTTCTTCAGATCGTTGCTTCTTCCACTTAGGCTTCGTCGGCTTCTTCGTGTTAATGAGACGACCGGAAGGGTTAGGAACATCAATGGTGCAAGATCCGTCTTCTTGGCGGTATTCTTCGTGTAATTTTGTCCGCCAAGTTCTACGATACGGCGCTCCTAGTGGACACGCTCGTGAAGAAGTTTGTTGATCTCGTCATTGAGATCACGGAGGAGATGCTCATCGAGGCCCTCGGTTTGGATCTCAGCCACATTGACACCAATCTCTCAAAGTATTTCACTGCGCCATCGGTCGACTTCGGCAAGATCGCGGCACTCCGAGGTGAGGTATGGACGACGCTCCTTGGACTTGCGCTTCTCCTCGTTCTTCATCGCAATGAAGCGATTGAGCATCGACTGTGCCTTCTCCTCATTGTGAGTCATCCGGGCTTGCGCTTCTCTCTGCTTCCTCGCCTCATATCACTTCGTTCCGGTTTGCTTGGTCCTCCTGCGTTGGCTTCGACACTCTTGAGCTTCGGCACTCTTGATCTTCGGCACTCTTAGACTTCGGTCTCTTGGGCTTCGACACTTTTGGGCTTCAGCACTTTTGGGCTTCGGCATTTTTAGGCTTCAACACTCTTGGGCTCTGGCACTCTCAGGCTTCGGCCTTTCAGGCTTCGGCATTTTTGGGCTTCGACAATTTTGGGCTTCGAAACTTTTGGGCTTCGACATTTTTATGCTTCGATACTCTTGGCTTCGGCCTTTTTGGGCTTCATCACTCTCAGGCTTCGGTCTTTCGGGCTTCGACATTTTCAGACTTCAACACTTTTGGGCTTCGATACTTTTGAGCTTCGACATTTTTAGGCTCCGACACTCTCTGACTTTGACACTCTTGGGCTTCTGCATTTTTAGGCTTCGGCATTCAGAGGCTTCGACACTCACGACTTGAGGATTTTTTGTCCCGGCAGTGTTATCAATTTCTTGTTAGCAAATTGATGTTTTCTGGTCAGTCAACATCAATTTGAGGTGGAATCTCAATCAGGAAGAACGGAAATTAGAGAGTTAAATTAGAAGTTTTCTATAATTAGAAGCTTCCTTATTTCCAATATCTTTATTCTGATTTATTTCCCTTTTAGCTGAATATTTAGATTAGGAATATGTATTATTAAGTTACCTAAATTAGATTATATGCACTCTTAAAATAGATTGTAAGATTGTTATTTAATGGAATGAAAGCAAAGGGAAAAAACAATCGAGATATGCAGATTTAAGCCTATTTTTCTCAAAATTTTGACAATATTTAGGTGTTAGATATGTAAATAGGGAAGAATTGAGTGGTATTTATGTAAATCTTTCATTATACATCTGTCTTTTATTTCCTTTATAGAAAACTAAATCATTAATGGTCTTCCTGTTGGAGAGGGGTGCAGACACATACTGACAAAGAGATGCTTGATCATGAAAGGAACAATGGAGAAGCTGTATTTCATGGAAACCAAACTGATGAGGGGAAGTTGCAGTATGTTGATCAACTTAAAAGTTGCCTAAAGACGCTGAATAATGGAAATATAGAAGTAAGATATTATTTTCTAGCAGATATTCATTGATATAATAGTGTTTTATATGTATTATTTAGGGTATTATTTAAGTAATATTATTTTTTTAAGTGTACGAAGTGTGTTCAAGGCCTATATTGGTTAACCATGCAAGGCTATCTTGAATAGTAAATGACAGTTCTAGCCTTACTTTTCTTGTCTTTTACTTATGACAATTGGGCTATTAATGTTCAGATTACCTCGATTCAAAGGCAATAGCAGAGCAAAGATCTTAAACTGTTACTTCGATAACAGTTTTTTCTATGTTATATCGAATCAAACAGCCCCTTAGCACATAAAATAGACACGCCTCAATTATATACACAAATCTCTTATTGTATTCAGGAAGAGAAGGTGAGGCAGCCAGAAGAACTGCAATTGGGAGTAGCTTCCATGGAGGAAGCTGTTAATAGAAGCTCTATAGCTCATGGAAATATTCAAGGGAACATTCGACTTATAGAGGATGAGCAACTTGAACTAATGAAGCTAGCTGCTTCAAGGAAAGGTTTATCATCCATTTATTCTCTTGACAAGGATACTTTGGATAACCTTCATACTTTCCAAGGTACTTTTTTTTGTTTTTTTGGTTCTGCAGCTTTTTTGTAAGGATATACGTACAATAACATGTTGCATTCTGTTGACTATGTGATATTATGCCATATAATGTGATATCAGTAACAAGATTCTGTAAATGATTGTTTGAATAAATAAATTTTACTAATCCGTTCTAAAGTATTTATATTTCTATTATAGAAATAAATAGAAGCTACATCCGAATTTTTTTGTTCTATCACTTTTGGTAATCCAACCCATGAAATGATGAAATATTTATGAAACTGTTGTGATATTAAGTATTTTTTGTTAATTCTATTTCATGAATTATTCACTATATTGACACTGTTTGTTTACATTTCCTTGTAAATTTACAGTTAAAGATTCTGATATGTTATATTTACCTGCTTCAGATATGTTAGGTACATTTCCTCCAGAATCAGTGCCTATGAAGCGGCCTTTTCCCATACTGCCGTGGACGGATTCCGAAGAGAATGTTGGAAACCTTCTCATGGTATTGATTTTTAATAACACTCATTTTTAAATTTTGTGCTAGTTATTTATAGATTTTGCTTCTGACGCTATGATCTTTTTATTTGCTACGTACCTGGTGAAAATTCTTATGCAATCAATAGCTTTAATAATCACATGAAAATAACTTGCTATGGTAGCATATGCTTCAAAACATTTTACAGAAATGTAAGATGTTTATTTTCGAAACCTGGAAGCTCTGTTATTAAAGCTTGTTTCTTTGTCATTGGACCTGACAATCACTCTTTTTTTAATAAATGCTTAAACCTTTTGTAGTGATCTCAATGTGCATGTGGATTTTACAAAAATCATTTTCTAATATTTGTTTGTATGGAGTTGCAGGTTTGGAAGTTCTTAGTTACTTTTGCTGGTGAGTTTGGACTTTGGCCTTTCACCCTTGAAGAGTTTGCACAAGCTTTTCACATGCAAGTAAATGAACTATCCTTTTGAGCAAAACAAAATGCAATTTTATTTTCATTAAGGGACAATTTGGTTGGATGTTTTTAAAATACTTGCATTTTAGAAATAGAATAATTGAAATGCATGTGTTTTAGAAATGCAAAAACGTTTGGTTAGATGTAAATCAATTGCATGGAAATATTTTTTGTATTTGTTATGATACATTTCAAATGCATTGAAATGCGACAAGGGCATGTTCAAGCGCGACGACTAACAATGGCAGGTGATGGCAAGTTTAAGCGATGACGACTAGCAGTGGCAGTTTTTGATGGTGGGAAGGTGGAGTTGATAATGACTGACATCAGTAGTTGGAGGGCAAGTTCAAGTGGTGATGACTAACAGTGGTAGGTGAGACAGGCAAGTGGAGGTGGTGATGACTGACAGTGGCATGTGAAGGTGGGCAAGTGGAGGTGGTGGTGGGCTGAAGCTCAAGAGAGGTGGGAGGACGACTCAAGAGAGGTGGGAGGACGACAAGGTCATAGTTTGCAAGTTTTCCTTGCATTTGGAATTTGCTAATTTATGGGAACTCTGAATCATCAAAAAAGGGCATTTTGGAGTATTCCAATTTCTTTGTACAAATACTTTATATGTGATTTACTTTAATCAAATACCGAACAAATTAAGTTTTTTTATTAAAGTAAATCACATATAAACCTTAAGAAAGAAACCTTAGCAGAGGTTTTAAGTTCTCTACCTCCCTTAAAATACACATCAACAATAATAGTAATGCTTTATATATAATAAAAAAATGAGATCAAAAGTATATGCATCCATGCCTAGCTCTCCATTCTTGCAACCTAACTTTCAAGATATCTTTGCTTGATATGCTCATAACCTCTCCCTGTCAGCCGTGTAACCCATGACACTAGAAAGATTGGTAGCCAACACGTGTGAGTTGCTCTTTTGCACTCTCCTCTGGCTAAAACTTGCAGATTTTTGTATTTTTTCTTGTGCTCCCAACTTATTCACTTTCTCTTTTTTTCTCTTGATGCCCTTTCAGCCTGATGATCTGATTCTCTATTTCGCATGAAGCTCCTCATCATTGATTTTTTTCCTTTGCATGAAATCACTGGCGTTTCTCCCCAACTCCAGTGAATTGTCATCTCTTCCTTTAACTTGCAAGAATTTCGTTATTGTGCCTTACCTCTAATATTGGTATCCTTTACATGAGAACTTTTCTCCTGTCTTCTCTGTTATGTTTGCATCCACACTCAACATTGATTGTTAGGAAGACATCTTCATATCTCCAACTTATGCGTTAAAATTCTGCCTCTTTTATGTGGATTATTCTTTGTTCTATCATGAATTCCTTGTTCACATTCTCCTACATTTGACTCAATATTCTCTCTTGCATACATTCGACTCCAACGCTCTCCAAATCCTTAAGGCATTATATTCAAACTAATGCAACTCACTCCCTCTTTCACACATGCTTTGTTGACACGATCGTTTTTCTTTTATTGCTCAAGCCAACATATCCTATTCTCTGACATTTCTTGAACCCCTTTATTACTTGGTTTTTTCCTGCAACTATGCACCTTAGATGATTCTAGTCCAACAGCCTTAGGCCATCTTTTTTAAAATACTCCTTGGAAGGCAAATGCAGGAACAAATAAAAAAGTTTGAGGACTTTTGCTTTTTGTCAATTTTTTATTTAGCTGGAGTTTTAAGGCTTTGCGTTCCATTGATCTTTGAATCAAATAAAAAATGTGGAGAGAGATTAGAAGACCGACTCAATATAAATGAAGGAAAAAAAGGAGGTTTACCCTACATTCTATTGATTTTTGATCCGGTGTGGAAAGAAGATTACCGGTTGTGTTCTGTCAATCTTTTGGTCCGACAGGAGTTTTTTTTATTCTATATTGATCTTTCATCCTGGCCATTTAGGGATTTTTTTTTTATTTTCAAAGGCTATTATTATGTCTAATGCTGGGCGGAGGTCTCCAAGTCATTACTGGGCTGTGGCTCTTGTAGTAGTAAAGTGTTATTGATAGGTTTGAATTGCTCAGATATTCTCATTGTTTATTGGGAAGATGCCCAACAGGCTTTTCGTTACCCACATATGACTAGCAAGGGAATCACTTGCAGCTATCATTGGTCCCACAATGAGCACCCCCTATGAAAACAATGGAGTTTACAAGTTAACCTCTTTCAAAGAAGTGGGCCCTCTATGTTGAAAAAAAGGAAAACAATATTTACTAAAACCCACTTAGTTGGGCGTTACCATGGCCTAACCACTATATGACATGCTTTTTAATCATTTCATTTCTAGTGAAGCATTACTATGGCTACCTGTCATAGGATATTTTCTTTAATCAAATTATTTTCAGAAATGATCCACATTATATGAAAAAAATCAATTAAAACATTGTAATCAAAGTATAAGCAATATATTTGACTTCCCACTTAATGTTGACGCTGACATGAGTACCTATATTTTAAGATCCTGTCCTAATATTAGTTTCATTAGTTTCATAGACTAACTTTTTTACCCGCATTTGCACGTAATGTGGGAACCTTTGCTTATTTAACACTACACCCGGGCACCGGTGTAGCAGCCCTTGCACACTTTTCACTATATTTAAGCTATACAACACGTTGCTTTCAGAGGACGCCCTAGCACTTACACAATGATCAAATTGATTCATGTCATGATTTGTAAGATGAATGCAATATAAATAAAGTATTTTTTTCTTATCATGAATCAGTAACAAGTATAAGAATTATGTTATGGAAATATTCTAATTGTGTTGTGTCAAATAGGAGAAATAATATTCTCTACTCTTGCTAGAGATGCTATAAAACACATTGGCTGATATATTGTTTAAATAGTCTTGAAGACGAGTTAAGTAAGGAAGATATTATCTCTCACTATAGAGTTTCTCTTCTCTCTCCACCCGGGGGATAACATCTAGCATCGAAACCTAAAACTATAAATCGAATTGGAGATTTTAGTTTGTCACTCTAAAATCTTCCCGATTCTACACCCAATAAATAATATTTCCCTATTTATCTGTACTTAATTCCATGAACGAATTTCTCCTCCATGAAATCAAATGTGATCTTCACTCTGTTGTAGAACTCATACTCCATTTCTTGGATCATATGTTTCACAACATATTTTAACAATTAAATTGGCCAGATCAAAATGTAAATTAAGTTTGGAGTTGAAAAAGCATCACAATTTATTTTATATTTTAATATTGACACATCTTAGGGGAAAACACAACAAAATTCGGAATTCATATATAAAATCAAAGTCATACAAACTACAACAAGTAAATAACTTATCTCTAATTTCTCCCCAAGAACACTCCTCGAAGTTCCTCTGAATCTCTTTCTTTTTTTACAACACATAGAATTCATCTTCGAAGTAGTAAGGAGAAAGAAATCTCTCACTTTCCCTCCACTCTTACAATCTCTCGAAGAATTTCTCACACTATTGGAACCTTTCTAACCTCCAGAAACGCTCGCTAGCACTTCCTCTTCTTCCAGACTAGAGTCTTCTGGCTCCTCCCCTATTTTCGTCCAAAATCTTCTTTTAAAATTGTGGACGAGTTTTTCCAAAATTTGCCTAAGCATCCCTTCAAAATTTGTCCTTATCCACAACCTGATTGGTCATAACCGCTGAGCTCGCCGTCGGTGGCCTCGAGGACGCCGTCAGCGGACCTTCTAAGTGGATTAATTCTGGAGGCTTCG